GAAGCCCCCAAAATGGAGGGCCATAGCTTTCCATCCTAAGACTGAGACAATATGAATGGAAGATGGTGAGGTGAAGAGCAGCCAATGGGCAGAGTTGTAGGCTGTGTGGCTTGTGATCAGCCAGGAGCCCTCCCCTACAGTTGTCTGTACTGACAGCTGGGCTGTCTATCAGGGCTTGACCCTGTGGCTACCAACCTGGTACCATGCCAACTGGCTGGTTGGTCACTGATCCCTTTGGGGGGCAAGAATTGTGGCAAGATTTATGGGCCTGTGGTCAGACTAAATTACAGTATATACAGGTCTTTTGCCACTGGCATCCCCAGGAAATGATGAAGCAGATAAATTGGTCCAGATACACTGGTTAGAAGGAAAGCCTGCCTCTGATGTAGCCAAATGGTTACATCAGCATTTGTTGCATGCAGGGCAAAAGACAATGTGGGCTGTAGCCTGTTGGTGGGGCTTGCCTTTGACCTTTGAAGAAGTCAGCAGAGCCCGGCAGGAGTGTGTTGTGCCCCAAAAGGGACTTACACTGAGTTCCACAGCAACATGGGACAATAGCTAAGGGGCCAATACCCCTCATTAGGTGGCAGATAGACTATATTGGGCCTCTACCTGTGTCAGAAGGATACTGGTATGCCATGACTTGTATGGACACAGCTACTGGACTTCAGGTTGCTCTTCCTACCCATTGTGCAGACCAGCAGATGACCAAAAGAGGCCTGGAGCGTCTCTTTGCTGCCTATGGTCGACCACAGGTAATTGAGAATGATCAGGGCACCCATTTTATTGGACATGCAAGAATGGGTGCAACATACAATCCTACTGCAGCAGGCATGATAAAGAGGCACAATGGCTTGTTAAAATCTGGACTAAAGTGAGATACCAATAGTCTGCGGGGATGGTCAGTCTGCTTATGGACTGTGCCATGGCGTTTGAATGAGAGACCCCGAAAGGGAGCCCTGAGCCCTGTAGACATGTTAACACATATGGCTGCCTCCCCTATACAACTGCAAGTACAAACCAAGGAAGAATCGCTGAAGCCAAGGTTTGGCCACCAGAATAACATCTTGCTTCCAGCACCAACTGCACTGAGCCCAGGAGACTCCATTGAGTGGATGTGGCCTTGGACCTTTCAACACATGGACCAACAATGGCTGGCTCTCCTGGCACCTTGGGGATAAGGCCTGGAAGCTGGCCTCCTGTGTAGTCCTAGAATAACAGGAGAGTGGCCACCAAAGGTCACAGTAGTATATCCTGAACGGCCAGAAGGTAGGAGCATCTTACTGGGGAGTTTTGTTTTATCATTATGGCCAGTGCATGCACCTCCAGTAGCACTATATATAGACCCTTTAGCAACCCCCATGGGGAAAGGAGTAAAAGTATGGTATACTCCACCTGGAAGGGACCCCCTTCCTTTCATAGTTCTATCACAGGACCACTCTTTTGCATGCATCCTACCTGATGGACAAGATTTGCCTATGTTGGTGTCATTAAAACATATGTCTTACAAGTAGTGATTTTACAGCATCTTACTATGTTGAAGGACAATGACTGTGAACTTGGTGACAAGTAGTGATTTTACAGCATCTTACTCTTTTGATTGACAGTGACTGTGAACGGGGATGTGGTGGGGACTTGGTGAAGGGGGGAGCCTGTAAACATAATGTCCTTCATGTAATTGTAGACTAATGATACCAAAAAAAACAAAACAAAACAAACATGAGTCTTATCACCCCTAAAGTCTTTGTGGATTGGGAACTTCCCCTGGCTTGAGGATTATTATAATTTTTTGTTATTCATAACCTCCTCTGGCTTGAGGATTATTAAAATTTTATAATTTTTGTTACCCATATCAAAATCTTGTTGTATCTTAACTTTTGTTACTATCTCTAAGTTGTTTTTATACTCTGTTGCTATTGTGGAATCTGGTTACAGTGCTCCAGCTTTCTCGCACAGGGACCATCGTGGAAGACTGAAAGCATGTAGATTGTAAGGCAAGAATCCTGGAGGGGTGGAGTGTGGGGAAGTTGGGGCTCCTATGGCCAAGTTCCTCACTGAACTTAAACCACCTGATGATGTAACTGGCCTGTTGCTAGGCTACCGCTTCCACACTTTGATGCAATAAGCTACTATTGCACTATAGAGAGAGCTCAGCCCAGTGCTCTGGGCAGAGGCACACATGCTAGTGCTCGACCTATGGCTGGGAGAAGCAGCGGGGTAATAAACTCTTGCATCCGAAAGAATGTTTTGCTGTCAATTTCTTTGGTCACATTGAATCCATAGCGAACTTGCCCAGGGTTGAAACCCATTGGCTAGACAAGCACTCTCCTGACACGGTACTGAGACAGTTAAGAAAGATCACAAATATTAAAATACATTCCAAACTGTAAAGTGGCATGTGGATGGTGATGATGGAACAACAATGCAGAAGACTACTTGTACACTGTCCCTGCCTCATATCTCTCTTCTGCACAAGCAGTTCTCTGCTCAATAAGCCACGGTAAGGAAGACTGTTGTTGAAGCAGCACAACTAGCCTTGAAAACATCTAAGCACTCTTCTGCTGAGAAGGGGCTCTGTACTGCTGATTAGACAAAGTATGAAATTGCTTTTCATAACCAAAGAAAGTCAGCTTTGCAACTAGTCTCCTGCTGCTCCAAAATGAGGGCCTTAGCCTCAGAAGGAGCTCATGCCTGGTCAGCACTCCACAACAGCATCGATTCCACAATCTCAACTAATGAGTGCCAGAAATGAGATCTGCCAGGGTTCAAAATATGGAGTAAGAATACAGCAGCCACTTCTGTGGAGCTGCTCAAAGGCAGTTTTCTTGGCTAAGGGAAGGACAGCCTTTTACAAAAGAACCCACACCTGTTGATAGTTTCAGGGACAGACTAAAAATGAGTAGGAAGATCACAAGCTCTATGACAGAGGCAAATTTAGGTTCAAACCCTGGACCCACCACATACAAAATGTAGGACACAGGCAAGTCCACTAACCTTTCTGAGCCTCAATTTTCCCTAGCCTCAGAATGGAAAAGAATAACTCATACTTTGTAGAGTTGTTGTAAGATTTTTTTTTAAAGACAAGTTTATTAAGGTATAATTTATATATAGTAAAATTTACCTCTTTTAGGTATACAGTTCTATGAGCACTGAAGAGAATATTCAGTTGTACAAACACCACCACAATTAAGATATAAATATTTTCATCACCCCCAGAAGTTCTCTCATCTTTGTGGTCTGTACCCTCCCAACAACTCCCGGCCCACGGCAACCACTAAGCTGTTTTCTATTGTTTTATATACAAATACATATCAGCTCTCATTTTACAGATGGAAAAACGGAGGCTCAGAAAAGGCAAATGAACAGTTAAAGGTCACAAAGCAAGTGACAGGGTCAAGATTAGACCCCAAATGGATCAAAGACCTAAATTGAAGAGCTAAAAATATAAAACTCATAGAAGAAATTAGAAAATACAGGCATAATCCTTTCTGACCTTGGATGTGGCAGTGGTTTCTTAGATGTAAAACCAACAGCGCAAACAAATGAAAATATGTATTAACTGGACTCATTAAAACAAAAAACTTTTGTGCTTTAAAGGACATCATCAAAAAAGTGAAAAGATAACCCACAGAATAAGAGAAAATTTATTGCAGATTATATCTATTGTAAGGGATTTTTGTATTTAAAATATGTAAGGAATTCTTAGCTCAATAATAAAAAGGCCAATAAACCCATTTCTAAAAATGGGCAAAGGATGTGAGCACACACTTCTTCAAAGAAAGTTATATATATATATTTCATGGCCATAAGCACATGAAAAGAGGTAAATCAAAACCATAGTGAGATACTACTTCATGTACATTAGATGGCTATAATCAAAAAGATAATAAATAAAAATATTGGTAAGGATGTGGAAAAATTGGAACCCTCATACTGGAATCCCAAATGCTGGTGGGACTTTAAAATGATACAGCCACTTTGGAAGAAAGACTGACAGTTCCTCAAACAATTAAACATAGAGTTAACGTAAGATTCAGCAATGCCACTCCTAGGAATATACCAAAGAGAAATAAAAATGTGTGTCTACACACACACCTGATCATCTACATTAGCCCTCTTATAGCACTAAACTATGTTTTCTACCTTTATCTTGCATCTACCTACCACTTCAGCATTGTATTAAAAAAAAAATAATAATAATAATAAGGGAGAAATGTGGGATTCACATATAAATCGAGTATAAAAATCAAATGAATAATCATATTTGACCTGATTGTTTATAGTTCATGATACATGATCAAAACCGAAAGTTTCTGTGATGACTACCCTTGCACTATTCACCATGTAAGAACTTATTCACTATGTAAGAACTTGTTCACCATGTATGAACTTGTTCGTTATGCTTCAGAAGATTGGAGTCTGTTGAGAATTAGGCTTGGGATTGATTAATGATTGTGCATTGAGTCCCCTATACAGAATTTTATTGTTGTTAACAACCATATGATCAATAAATATGAGAGATGCCCTCTCAAAAAAAAAAAATGTGTGTCTACATGATTTTCATAGTAGCATTTTCCTATTAGTCAAAAGATGGCAACAACCCAAATGTTTAACTGATGAATGGATAAATGAAATGTGGTATATCCATAAAGTGAAATATTTGGCAATAAAGAAGAGTGAAGTATTGATACATGGTACAACATAGATGAACTTTGAAAACATATTAAATGAAGGAAGCCAGTCACAAAAGGTCATGTACTGTGTGACTCATTTATATGATGTCCAAAATAGGCAAATCTAGAGAGAAAGTAGATTAGCGGTTTTCTAGATCAGCTCATGATTCATGAAACGTAGTACCTTCCAAATCCACACCTTTCTCAAAATTATTATACCACAACAGTCACCCACACATCCACACCCACACCCACCTACTTTCTGAACATTTCTTTCTGCTAACTCTATAAGCAATTCAAACTCACCATGACCAAAAGTAAACTTACCATCTTTCTCCAAGCCTGTTCTTCCATCCTGTACTGACTGTCTCAGAGTTAATGACAATCCATCCACCTAGCACCTAAACCAAAAACCTGGATGTCATATTAAATTCGTTCCATTCTTTCACACCCAATCAACCACCAAATCCCGATAACCCTACCTTTTTCACTGCTACTGCCCTCTAGTTCAAGTTTCATCATCTCTTAACTACTGCAATTGTCCCAAGAGGTCTCTTTCCCACCATTCTAGCCCTGTCAAATTCACCTTTGATATTCTTTATTAAAACATAGGTTGGAAGACCATTGCTCTTCTCAGAAGCCTTGGGAATAGAATCCAAACTCTTTCACACAGTATATCAGATATCTCAGATGGGGCTCAGGAATCTATGTAGTTATGTTCCTTCCCAAGGAGACTTTGATGCCCCAACAGTTTGAGAACATTTCCTGAGACTTTCTTTCCCAAATGATGTTTGTCTCACATAAGCTTAATAGAGGAATTGAGACGTGGCAGTGAACAAGAACAATAAAAATTCCTGCTTACATTCTAGTTGGGAGGGAGAGGAAGAGAAAAATTTTTTTGAAAAGTAAAACATATTGTATGTCAGATGGTGATAAATGCTAGAGAAATCCACTGAGAGTGCATAGGAAGTGCCAAAGGGAGGGGGTGCAATTTTAAATTATAGAAGTAACATTAAGTGACATCTAGGTCAAGACCTGAATACACTGAAGAGGCCATGCAGCTCTCCAAGAGGAAACAGAGGAAACAGCAAATGCGAATGCTCTGAGGTGGAAGCATGTTTGAGAAACAGCACGGAGGCCATTTTAGCTGGAGTGCAGTGAATGAGAAAGAAAAGAGCAGGCAGTGAGATCAAACAGGTAATGATGGCCAACTTATCCGGGGTCTTGTAGGCCAGCGTAAGAACTTTTGTTTTTAATTCTCAGTGAGACAGGGAGAAGCCACTGGAGTGTTGTGAGCAGGAGAGTGACAGTTTGACTTCATTTTAAGATTACTTTGTTGAGATAAGATCAGATGGCAGGAAGGCAAGAGGTGAAACAAGGAGCTCAGTTAGGATATTACTGAAATACCCCTGATGAAAGACCATGGTGGCTTGCAATAGGGTGGAAAGAGGGTGGCAGCAGTGGTGGGTAGTGGTAGTCAGATTTTGAATGTATTTTGAAGATCAAGCTGACAGAAATTACTAATGAATATGGAGTACAAGAGGAAGAAAGATATTAAGGATGAATACAAAGCTAATGAGAAACAGGAATAATTAAAATGCCATTTCTAGTATGAGAACTATAAAGGGAGCATGTTTTGGAGAGAAGAACAGAAATTTGGACTTAAATTTGAGATGCCTAAGAATTCTGCTTACAACAATGGTTATTCCACAATAAGCATTCTGTAAGGGTTAGCCATTACCACTATTATAAGTGTTACCTCTACTACCAGCAGCTACCATTTCTTGAACATCTACCACGTGACAGGTACTGTGCTAAGGACTTACCGACTAAGTCCTTGTAAGTCTTATAAGACCACAGTGATCTTGCAAACAGGTATTATTTTCACTATATTACTGGCAAAAAACTTAAGTCCAGAGAAATGAAGTGACTTATCCAAAGTCTTATAACTAAGAATTGAAAAAGTCAGTCTCATACCCATGTCTGCTGGATTCTAATGTCTGTGATACTTCCACTGTGCTAGATCAATTTCCTAGTTTCCCAACACAGCACTGGATTCTCCTCCTTTAACTCATGTGGTCTGCTTGGGTCCCACCAGTTCACACCTATCTCCTGGGACCCTGCTGGCACACATAGGCAGTTACAAGAGAATAAAACCACTGTCTCCCTGACTCCTGTTCCTGCCAGCTGCCCAGAATCTTAGCTGCTATATATTACCCATCCAACCCAATATCATTTCTTAAATGAAACAAGTATGATAAATTCCCACTGTGCAAGTCCTGCCTGGCTGTCTCTCCAGAGCCAAGTACAGAGTTGTCCCTGCTCCCTGGGACTGAGCCACAATAAGTCTACATTACTTGTGACAGCAAACACAACTCTACAATAGCTTCCTAACTTACTCAGAATAAAATCCAAAATTTGCAAGGGCTTATATGATCTGGTCTTGCATAACCACCTCTCTGGCTGATACTCCTACCACTATCCCTTGCTTTTTCCTCTCCAATCACAATGACCTTCTTGGTCTTGAACACTCTGTGCATTCTATGTCTAAGAGTCTTCGTACTTACTCTTTCCCACACCTAGAATGCCCTTCCTCCCAGATATCAAAATGGCATACTCCCCCCTCACTTCAGGTCTCTGCTCAAATGTCACCTCATCAGAAATGACTTCCTTAACCCATCTAAAATAGATCCTCCACATACTGTCATTCTCTGTCCCCTCAACCTGCTTTACTTTTCCTACTGACACCTATCACTACCTGATATATTTTCCTATCTATTTGCTTATTCTCTCCCGATTAGAACAGGTTCCACGAGAACAAGGATTCTGTTTACTGTTTTGTTTTCCCGGTACCCAGAATATTACCTAGCACATAATGGGTTCTAAAAACACAGTACTTAAATAAGTGATGAACCATCTTTCATGCTTCTCCAAATGATAACTCTATAAAAAAATATCAAGGTGCTTGGCACTTCTGGGCATATCCTAGTCAGCTTACTTGGCTCCACACCTACCCAGCATTTACTTCCAATGTCCACAGAAGCCTCCATTGATTGCTCATCTTTGGCAGAATAAGCAGGCAGTGGCAAGATGTGACAGAGAAAATAGAGGTGCTAAAGACTTCCCTTCTGGTGTTCTGCAAGCTGCCTGCTGCTGCCCTCAAAAACACCTGAACTTTTCCTTTCAAATCAACAGCAAAATATAGGAGCATAAAATGACAAAGAAGAAAACCCTGAATATAAAAGCACAGGATTAAGAATGAATACTTGGAAGTATGCTATGTACAACAGGTTGCAGTATTTAAAATTTGTGTTGTAGTTTGCAAACTACTTTAAAATTTTCAAAGAATTTTACCATTTACAAAAAGTTTAGAGTGAGATTTTAACCACTATTTCTCTTGATCCTTTGAAGGAAGCAATGCAAGGATTATTCATCTCATTTGACATATAAAGAAATTAAAGCTCAAAAGTTTAATGCATAATGGGATAGATACTGTAGGGAAAAGAGACAGTATCTGACCAAAGGAGGTTATGGTCTGGAGCCAGAGAATTTAAAAGTTAAATAAAAATAAGGATGCCAAAAATAATACAAGGCAGAAGTTCTGGAATGCCTAACTGCTTAACAAACCCTCTCCCCAAAAAGCAACAAAAAAGGGGGACAAATCTGTCAAAAACAAACATTTCAGGCCTCTGAAAATTAACCAAAAGCACATTCCAAATTGAGAAATGTTAACTTAAGAAAAATTACTGAACCTATTAAGATCAGTGAGAATCTATGCCATTTTAGCCTAGGGCTACCTCTATTCCCCACCCTCAGTTCCCTGGGGGCAATTCCATCAGAGCAGGCCAGGCCAGGCCAGGCCAAGGGGACTACTACTGCCAGAGTGGGCTGATTTAATTTAAAGCTGAACATGGAAAATCTGCTCTGGATAGTGCCCAGTCACTGTCAAAAACAACAAAAGGACAGGCTGGGGAACAATAGTAAACAATCCAGGAAGGCCATGGCCTGCAGCTAGCCTAAGGTCATAGTACTAGTTAGGGCAGACAACAGACCTGCTGAAAGGCCAGAAATTTAAAAGGGAGTTCTGGGGAACAAAACAGCCATAATGGGTCTTGATAAGATAAGACCCATTTTGAGATCACTGGTGGTTTGTAAAGGTTTCACACTTACTAAGGAGAAAATGGAGAGGGACCTAGCTAAGTACTAACCCTATGTGAATGTAAGGCCTTGAACACACAGACAGCAAAAAGGCTGGAGCAGAACTGTAAATTGTCTAAACTTTGAATTCTTCAATCCACAAACAGATACATCAGCAAAGTGTGGAAGATTTCCTGACCTAGGGTTTATGCTAATCACTGGCTGACTACTAATCTATGCTGGCCCAGACACGACCTTTAGGAAGCCAAGTTTAAAAGATAAAACAACAATTTAAAGGTATGATCAAAGTAAACTACTTGCATGTTAAATAAAAATTAAATAAGTATGCATGGTTAAAAAAAAAAAAACCACAGACATCAGTAGTCACACACTACAAACTAGATAGACACTACAGAATAGTCCAGCAAGTCACTAAACAAAAAAAAACAGCAACACCCCTCTCCAAAGAGGGAAGAATATGAACCAGGAGTTGCTACAACATATTATCTAAAACATGTAATTTTCAACAAGAGAAAAATCATGAAAACATGCAAAGAAAAATAAGGTGTGACCCATTTACCAGGAAAGAAAAAGACTACAGATATTGTCTCTAAAGGAGGCCCAGGTTGGAATCAGTGGGCAAATATTTCAAAGCAGTTATTATAAATAATGTTTAAAAAAACTAAAGGAAAATTTAAAGAATTAAAGTAAGATGACAGTGACTCATGAAATAGAAAATATCAATAGACAGACAATACAAAAATTAAAAGAACCAAATAGAAATTGTAGTCTGAAATAAAACACTACAGACAAACTCAACAATAAATCTGAGTTGGTAGACTGAAGAATCGTTGATCTTGAAGACAGATTAATACAGATTATCGAATCTGAAAAACAAAAAGAAAAAAAAATGAAGAAAAATAAAGTCTGTGACCTGTAGGAAACTATTGAGCAAACCAACATACATTTGGGAGTTCCAGAAAGAAGAAAGAAAAGAAATGAACAGAAAAAATATTTGAAGACACAATGGCCAAAAGCTTCCCAAATTTTATTTAAAAAACACTAAATTACAAATTGAAGGTAGACAATAAACTCCAAGTTGGCTAAACACAAAAAGATCCTCATCTGAACACATTACAGTAAAAACAACTGGAAGACAAAGAGAAATTTTCAAAAGTGGCAAGAGAAAACAACATATCAGATAAAAGGGGAACAACAGTAAGAGGAGTGGAGTGATAAATAAAATATGCTGAAAGAAAAAAAT